TAATTTTTTACGATCAAGATTAGTTTTCTAACACGTAGAAAATTCGGTTTGGGAACAAACTACCCATATTTTTTTTATTTATTCACATTTGCACTAAAAAAATGTTAAAAAGATGATTTTTAACGTATTTTGCATTTTAATTAAAAATGTAGAGGTTATGTCAAAAAATAGATTGAGCAAAAGTTGTAGATATTTAAATTATCTACAACTTTTACATCAAATTTTTTTCGATACGAGTCACAGATTGTGTTTTATCAGCAAAAAACCATTTTTTTGACCGTCACGCGCTACATAACTTATCATTTTAAAAATAATAATCGAAAAGGTACCATATTTTGAAAACATGTTTTCAACGTAAAATTTGACGGGAAATTCGATGGAAATATAAAAAACTAGATTTTTTTTGGGGGCCATTGTTAAAAAAACGATTTTAACAATTAAATTGTTACTAATAATATGCATTTGTTGAAAATTACCATCAAACAACTTTTTTTCTTGAAGCCCAGTTTTTCAGCTACAAAAGCGCAATCAGTAAGTGTTTCATAACTTTTACAGATTCGGAATTATAAATTTTTGAAAATTAGCTTCCAAGCCAAAAAATTAGCCATTTTCAAATATTCGATTACTTGTATTAACGAAACAATGAGGAAAAAAAAATCCTCGGACACGTGTCCTTCATTTTTCGATATTGAATCCATATAAAAAGTTTCAGCTTAATCGAAGAGATGCCCATGATTTTTTATCAAAATCTGTTCAGTTTATAAAAGAATGATCCATTTATTAAAAATTAAATACAACGTTTCAGCTGTTTGGTCAAGTCCTGGTTCTTATGAAGTACAAAAAGCTCTTACTATAAAAATAGTAATTATTACTATCTTATATTCCTTTCGTAAGAGTCAGAACTTTTTGTATCTGATGAGGGCTAAGACGTTGTCTTAGTGACCAAAATATTGTTTAAGTTTTTCAATAAATACAAAAATATGACAGTATGACTGCTAGACGTTGTTTCAAATTATTTACCAACTGTTAATAAATATCTTATTTGATAAGGTCCAGTTTTCTCATGTGGGTCAGTAGAATTTTATGTACATCAGCGTTACCTTTGTCTATTGTAGTTATGTAAAAGGTGATGGTTTTCCTAGGACGAACCTATAATTGTCACTTCATCGACCGATGATGTGATTATTACGCGTGAAAATTAAAATGTGGTGTGCAGTGCGGAAACGGCAAGTCGTTGGAAGGAGAATTTAATGTAGTTAAATTATTATGAGTTACTTACCAATACCTTTACGAATAAAAAATGATTTCAAGTCGGTAGCTCTCTTGCGATGGCCAGTGGAGTAGGTTAAGTATTGCGTTGTTAATTTATTTCACGAAAAGGAAAAGCTCACCTCAACACTTAGCAGAACATGATTTATGTAATCATTAATATCATAACAAAAACTTTGACAATTAGATGAATGCTTGAAAATGTAACTTGCTCAATTAGTATCAGCTACTTGCTCACTGGTCAACTGTTTCTCTACAAAAGAGACTGAGCCCACAGTGCACGGTCTTTTGAAATTCTAAGTCAGATTAATAATCATAGGCAGGAGTGAGGCTTTGTAAGACAGTGGAGGTAAATAAAATTAACATATTTATGGAAAAGATGCAACTTGTTGGCCTAGGTCAGATGTTGTATTTGGTGAAGTAACGTAAGGAAGCGAACGAAAATAATAACGAAAATAGCTAGTGAGCAGACAATTGATCAATTGAGCGTTGTTATTGATTTGCAGGTGTAGTTGCTACGTGAGTGTCAGCATTCGGTAAATGTTACAGAGTGTTGATGGACGTTACCAATCGTAACAGTACTATAGTACGTACATAAAAATGTATATATTCACTTTTTTACTTAGACTTGTAACTTGGGGATTTAATATTTTTCTCTTATACTCACAAATTCTATAAGAAATTCTTGGTAAAATTCAGCGGATTTTTCCTATTAAGTATTAATTACAGTCTTAAGACAGGATATATACGTATAAAATGATCAATGAAATATCGTTTGTTAAAAATGTCTAACCACTCAGACATAAACAATGCGAAATTTGTACCTAAGTACGTGACTTTGCTGTTACCCTACTTTACACCATGCCTCACAATAGTATTTTTGCTTGGGAATTTTTTTTATTTTGGAAACATTTTTTTAGAAGGTGATGACATAAGTGAAATAAAACACAGTAAAACTGGTAATAATAATTTTATTATGTATACGCGCTGTGCGTTTGAAGCTTATTTACACCGCGTTTTATAGTGGTGATGAGTCTAAATGTTTTGTCTATAGATGAGGTACGTATAATGAATCAGAGAAGTGAGAATACTAATTTTTCAGTGACGTTACCCAGCATACCAGTTGCATTTTGTTAAGACTTATTTTCTGTATGCGTTGTTTTTATTGAGAAATGTACTTGTCTTAGTATTTTAGCCAATGTCTGAGTGACTTTATAAAACGAAATTAATATTGGCTATTTAATTTTTCAGATACGATGATCAAATTTCACAACCAACGTTAGGAACATCTGAAATGTTTGGTGAAAAAACGAGAGAAAGGACAAGTTATTTGCATTATAATTTTACGCAGGAAGCCATCTCAACCTATGTCAAAGCATTGACATTACTATGGTAATCTTTTTTTTATGAATAAAATTATTAAATAAAAAGTAAAGCTTCTTAAAAGCATGCTTCTGTATAAAATTATCTAATTATTTATTTTACACATCAGTCAACTCATGTTTAAGATAGATTAAATATAGAAAGCCAGAAGACTTGAGCTGTTGGCTCCTCTACATAAAATCTTTATTTTATGATTATAAGAAAACAGTCTTTAGAAAAGTTATTTTTCACCTAAAGCGTCTAGATATACAAAATGAGTATGAATATACACTACTTATACAGTAAGCTAAAAAAAATGGTTCAAGTTATATGTATTTGATTAGAAGTTTTAGGTTGCTTCATTAGGCTGTGAGGATCTTCTGAGATTAAGTGGAGATCCTTAGTAGCTAGCTTGATAACGATAAAAATTAAGACATCACTTAGCTATTGCTTGTAAGTGGAAATGTTTGACGAAGATGTAGAAAGGGCCATATATTGAAAGGTGCACCTTAATTAACGTGTCTGTAAGTTCACAGAAGAGAAGCTAATCTCATTTAAAATTATCGTGCATGCTTAAATTAGGCTAACTATTCGTTAATACGTAGTGAATGTAGTGAACAGATCATGTGAAAAGGAAAAAAAAATTAACAGATACTGATGAAGTCAAGTTGGCCTATCCACGTTGACAACTATTACAGACGTAGCCCAATGTAGCTGGTCAATGCCCATGGCTTGTGCTTTTTAGCGCAAGCTTAGCGTTTTCGGGGCAACTGCCCAAGCTTTCGGCAACAGTCAGATTGCCAGGCTAAGTCAGCACGCCGGTGCAAAACGGCATAGGATAATTTCTTCCCAAAATATAATCAAAGTATGTACCGTTTTTTGCAGGAAACCATCCAACACAGGTTAGTTTTGGTAACAGCGTAGATTATCTCAGGTTTAATGCATTGCTGTCTAGGTGCAGATGCCAGTGAAAGCATCGAGGCATGTTACCTTTAAAAATGCAGCAACTTGGCTCAAAGGCAGTAAGCATGGAGGTAATGCAAAAACAACGGTGATACTATTGTGTTAGTTTGCCACGTCTAGATAAGTATAGGTTGATAGTTTAAATAAATAACATCTTAGTTGACTTCAAGCGTACTAGAAATCAATAAAAATCTTTAATAACAAATTATACTAAAATAAAATCATTTTTAATCTCAACATCGGATCAATAATGAACTAACAACAAAATTCACTACACTTGCAATTAAAGATGCTCCACTTAAGTAATAAATTGAACTTAAAGAACAATTTGTAAATAGTAATGGAAACAACATACATTAAAATTAAATGATACGTCTTTTATAAAGGAGCTTTTCAGAAGCACTAGAAGCTTGGGTAGAAGCCGTGAAAAATAAACGGGATCTTCTGGCAAGGCAAATATACGATAATGAATAAGAATTTTATGAAAAAGCATTTAACGTGAGCTCGATCATGGAGGCAAATGAGTATAAATGAAAAAAATAGAATAGTACAATGTAGAAGTAAAAGATACAGGTAAAATAGTAATAATGAGCTGTAGACTAAAAGACATTTTAATGGTGGAGTGTATCTTACAAAATAAATGCCGGAGCACACTGCACAGCATTTCGGGGAACCAGGCCTACATTCCGTGTAAAACGCAAAATGGGTGTGGAAACTTGGCTTCACCTTACAGACTGGTAACATTATGGATACATGTCATAGACATAAATTAGTAACGAAGAATATTTGGGCACTTAAGCAGTGACTAAGACAGACAATCTTATTTTAATTAAAGGATGATTGGTTAGGTAGAATCAAAAATAAAAGAAGTCCAGTAGTATACCCTGCAGAAAGCTTGATATCAGCAGAAGTTAAGTATCCTGGAAATAATTTTTTCAAAGTTGTGGAAGACATCGAAAGATCTTGGTTACGCTCTAATATCTTTCCATTACATCTTAAGGAAACATGTGCTCTCTGTGGATTAAAATAAATTTTATGGCTCTTACATGGAGACAGCAGAGCCAGGTGTATAACTGTCGCACTAAGAAAAACATTGATAAAAAGTAAATACCTGTAAGTCAATTTTCAAGAAACTCTCTGATTCTAAATTATGTAGTCAAAATACTAATAAGAATGTTGAATACAGCATACATGAAATTCTCAAATAACCGGCAGAATTCCAATCAAACGATTTAGAAGTCACACATGTACGAAAATGCTTATTTCTCATTGAACCCGAAAAATTAGACAATAGTTCATTTCCATACGCAATACAAGAGTTCACACTTACTGTGAAATATCCCTACTTCAATCAGAATCAAAGCAAGTTTACAACAGAGTACACATTGTATGCACGACCTCCTTCCTTCAACATGCGTCAGAGTGTTGTAAAAGTCATGAAACAACAGATGGTTACACATCTTTAGATCTGTACCTGTCCTTAATTTAATGTGGACTGACACAAGTATCTTATACACAAATTACACGTACACAAACAGCATTTGTGCCTACAAGGCTAGTACTAACGGCCGTACGAGTAGGACACCAGGCAAAACTGAACAGAATTTTTCACTCTGCTTAAATATGTCTTTATAATGCACACAGAAATTACCAACTTATACCAAACCTGGGAGGAACTTAAACCTATAAGATAACATAGGAAACTAATACATTTTGCCAAGAAATTCATAGTGCGACTATTACTATATCTTTACGACAATATTTTACTCATGCTTGTAGCAAATATTATAGGAGAGAATACCACCGTTATAGGCCTATAAATCGCATATAATAAGTAAGTTAAGGAACTTTCATTAGATCTTGTAGCACAATACAACAATAAATGGGTCACTAAGAGTTTTCAGTCCCAAATCAGATCTGTTTATCAACTGAAAGCTAGAAATTATGGACATAGGGTACTTATACTTTGTAATAGGCTGATATACATTGATAATAATGATGCTATGGACGTAAAATTAGCCACACTAAACAGTACATAAAAAAAACATTGACTAAAGACACTTTACAACACTTTATGTAGAGACTAATAGCATTATTAGACATGCAAGTTCAGTGCAAGGAACCAGCAAGCCTCAGAGAAACTGTCAGACTGGCAAGTGAGTGTGACCAAGACTTAACATGCATCAACAAATGTAACCAACCCTTTAACACATAGAACAGTACAAAAATTAAGCACCTGTTAAACTGTCAGGATCAAACCAGCCCTAGTTTAGAACCCTACCCCAAAGTGTTTTACAAAATTCGAGTCATCATTAAAATATTGATTCAGCTAACATTTTTGCAGTTAAGACGGATAAACGGACAAGGAAAAGTAGAAAATAGTGTTACTCCTATATCAGACATACAAGTAAGTCACCTTTACTGTGGGATTAAAAGCCACACGGTAATAATGTGCAAAAGATGAGCTTAGGACCTAAAGCTTAGACAACTCAAAAGAACTGAGAAAAATTAGGATGATGAAAAAAAATGATGAATAGAATCAATAAGAAAAGAATATTTGAAATTAGAATCAGAAAATAGAGCATTTGAACGTAAAAGGTGCTTGGCTTTATTCCTAAGAGATGAGCAATCAGTAAAAACGGAGCCAGATACAAGAAAACTTAGAAATATGAGAATGGACTTCACAAAATCATGCAAATTACCACCAGTGATCAAGCTTAGTAGTAAGAATATAAGATTGAAGTAGTATCGTTCCTCATTGACGAAGAAATACACATTTTAATGGTAAAAAGAATAATTTAAGTGTAAAAGCAGGAATACAAAAGAATACAACATTAAAAGTACATTCCGTTATGGAAAGTGTATGTAAAGTTTTAGGCAGTACCTGTATATAACTACAGGGAGTTCTATCAGTAATAAAATTGACAATAATAAATTTATAAAAGTTTGCTTACAAATAAATGAAATCATCAGAATGGCGCTGTTAAAATTTAAAAACATGAGGACTTCTAGGAGCTGAGTAATTAATATTCATATTCAGCTAATTTTTACAGGAAGACTAATGGGTTATCGTCTTTTTAAGCGCTTTTATTGCATCTACCTCGCTTATTAACAATGAACTGTAGATAAAAATTTTATTAATAATAAAAAAATATCTAATAATTGTATTAATTTTATTGAACATCTTGAGGGTTCTTTCAAGAGAACAAATTGATTAAGAAGCAAGGTAAAAACTACCAGAAGTTATGTCATTGCAGGAGAGCAAGAAAGACAGACGACATATCAAACTATAGATGGCATTGCATGGGCTATAGCGAGGGATGTAACCTTTTTAATGATTTTTTTTTGCAAGCTGAATATTTTTTCTATGAAATCTTGGATTGTCAAAAACAAACTCATAGAACAGGACACTTTAAAAGTGTACGTACGGTATATAAGCCCAAAAATAGGTATGCTTATGTCAATCAGATTAAGTTTACAATACAAAAGGAGGGACGTTTTTAAGTCCCCTTATGCTTCAAGTAAGTAACACACGTAATGATAAGCACACTAAAAAACTAGAATATATAGGATGTGTTCCGAGAGAGATATTTAAAAACAGTATTTATTCCAGGAATTGTATAGTGAAACAAGGCGGTGATGGTAAAGTATGCACTAAATTGTGGTACAAGGGTCTTATGCCACCTTAATGACTGCATCTAAGAGACGAAGCCATCTGATTTCTAAATAAGATAGTAAAAAGTAAAACCGTGGAGCAAATATAAAATAAACAGAAAGGTAACACAATGATGCAATGGATAAAAATATATTCTATACTTAAAAGAAATGATCCAACAGCTAAAACATGAAACAACTTCACTATGAATGAAAAAAAATTAATGTTACCAGCATTTACGTTAATTGACGAAGGACAAAATAAATTAGGGTAAAACTAAATGAAATAAAAAAAACACTATTTATGAGCTACTGACAAAGATATAATTTGTGGCTCGAAGGAGGACGCTCTTGTGAGAAAACCCTTTAAGAGGAAAAAATGACCGATACAAAATTGAATTCAGTGAAAATAA